AAATATACTGCTTCATTCCTGATTTTTATACTTACTTCATCTTCAGCTACATATTTATAGAATGTGTATATTAGCAGACTTTTGTATTATTTACTTACGTTTACACAATAAAAATTTGAAATATGACACAATTACATAACATCCAAGTACAATCTTATACAGAGATGCATTGAAACCTTTAATTCTTCCTATATGCATTAAGAACAATATAATGCAATATATAAAAGTGTGTTCACTAAATATTAAAATGCAAAACATCTCTGTACATGTTAGACGTTAATATTTGTAAAATATAAATTCCACGCCATGCAAGTTGGGAATAATAAATATATATATATATATATATACACATATGTGTATATCAGTCACATGTTCTTAACAATATAATAATATGAAAAGATGCCTCGTCTGCAAAGAAATGCTTCATGATTCTAGGACTACAGAGATACATTCGGGCGAGCTTAAAGCTTTGTAAAAATATACCTCATATTCATAGATATCTTCCTGACAGGTACCGATCATGGATGTCAATTCAGCATCAATGTAGTATCGGCTCATACGCTTAACATTAGCAGAATATTAAAACTTAATATATCAAACCCTCACAACTCCGTAGTTCTCTTTCCCGTTATATATTCTTACCATTTATTTATTAAACGTTATTTATTTTATTAAATATAATCTTCTTTTTTTAAAAATAGCTTTAAATCAAATACTACTCAAGGGAAAGATTTAATTAAATTGCAATAAAAAGGGTATAAATTGTTAATATAAATATTTTGCATTAAATTATTACAGAAGGGAAAGAACATGAGACTTGAAGTATTTATTAGTATATTCAGAAATTTATTATGTAATAATAAGTGAAGCGATGTAACGAATCCAATTCAAACAATGGTCGCAACTTAGAGGAAGAGATTGTTGGATGTAATTTTATACATGCATGCGAATTAGATAATTATTAGAAAGAAATAAGTAACGGAACACAAAAGAATTTACCTGCATAAAATTGCAGAATTCTATGCATATGGCGCATATACCGGTGATACAGCCAAGAAGATCGGGATCCGTTAACATACATTCCTTCAGATAACTGGCTTGCAAATCTTGATGCACGCTCAGCACGTCATCAACATTACTAACCTGGTATTAATTTAAACCAAATAGGTATATATATTGCATAAATAGGTATATATTTGGATAAAAATAGAAAATAAATTATCACCTTGCTCATCTTATTTATGAATTTTAACCAATTTGGTTCCACGACTTCTACCATCATATAGTACTCCAAATGTTGTATACAATCAAGCATTCTCTGCCGCAATGAAAATGCCTTTCTGTAAGCCATAGCCACTTCGTGCGTGAAAGTCTTCGCTATTTTGTTGCTGATCCATACTCTAAAATCCATCAGATATAAAATTTATGGATATAAAGCATACGCTCTGTTGAAACAAAGTAATTTACCTGCACAAGAGCCTCTCAACATATTTACAATAAAACAGATGTCTAAACAACATTTGATAACAAGCTATGGCCTTTCTATTAATGATTAGAGAAACTGGCCATTTAACATCGTAATTAAAGACAAAAGCTTCCAAACCAGTCAAAATTTTACCCGCTTGGAAACAGTATTCTGCAAGGAAGATTAATTCTCGTTATTAAATTCCTTTAAAGTACAATTGGAAAAGTATGATACTTTTAATGGCATATACCTTTCTCGTCTCTAGTTTGAATGGAGAGTATTTTAAACATTTGATACTGCAGATCATATGGAAGTAATTCCGGTTTCAGATCGTCTTTATAGGGATCTGAATCTGCAGTAGACATTCGCAAGGCAACTTCGAGAAGAGATGCTAAACGATGAAGAACGATGTCATACATACTCTTGTTCAGTTCGGCCTCACACAGATTCATAAATTGTACCTAAAATTAGACAAATATCATCATATAAGAATAATAACAATTTTAGGAAATGCTAAGGCACTTCTCTAGATTTTTGGAGAAAAGAAATTTAATTTCAAATATGGACAAATCGAAGATAATGACTTTTAGAAGAAAATGGGAACATGAGTTTGGAACAGAGTAAAGATACGAGAAGTATAGGTCATTCTTAATGTGTAGATTATACTTCATAAAAAAAGAAGCAAAATCAACATTAACTATTTAAAATAATTTTTATAAAATTTTTCACTCAAAGGCATGAATTAAATAAATATCTAATAATAATTTTAAATAATAAAAGTAAAGCTGATGTTTAACAACGTATAAAAACCAAGCTTACCACAAAATCTCCTTGGGCAAGAAGAAAGTAATTTTTCACACTACGTAGTCTACCCATCAGATCATTTTCCTTCATGAGTACCTCTAATAATTTTCTGGCAGCCTCTGAATATGCTCTATCGATAGCAGCTATATATTTTTGCCCTTGATACTGGTAGCTTAATGGTTCTTGTTTTCCCCACTGCACTGTTTTACCTAAATTTATTAAAATAATTTAATAATTTGCAACCTAATCAAAGATATGATTAATACTTATTACATAAAGCAACACTCATTTTACTTTTTAACAATATAATAAATATGCTATTGTATTTAAAACATACCGCACTGCCTAATCACATTGAAATATTTTCCTGTTCTAAGTATAGTCTGTGCATGTTCATTCAAAAATACAGGTATCCTTTCTAGTCGCATAGTGTATCTCTTTTCCCAATAATCTGCAGAATAATCTACGGGAAGTTCTTTCCTTTGAATCAATTCGTTATCCTCTACAAAGAACTGATAAATGAATAAGTATGAATGTGCCATTTATAACATATAAAATTAAAATTAACTTGATACCAACTTCTTGATATGGATCGCATATCACTCCTTTATAAACCCATTTTTCTAAAATTTGCATATATGGCATGCTCGCCGCTTGCATCAGATATAAACACAGTTCTTTAGACTTTGCTTCACCACTAACATTGTTCAATGTTTGCTCATGCAGAAGGCTCAATACTTTGCCCCCTCTGGCATTTGCCTAGAATCAAATATTTTACATCATATTATAATTCTAATTCTTTGGTTATAGCAAATACAAGTTCATATTCTCTATGTATATCTAGAATTAAATGTAATCAGACCTATTTAATTACTATTAACTGGTGTTTTAGACTAACCTTACATATCGTGGATGTAACTTGAGAAAGTATGGACATCGTAAGCATGGTAGGCTGGATATAAAACCATAGCTTCTGCAAACTTAGTTTACCGTGAATGTGTTCTGTCTCGAGTTGCACGACAAAGAGCTAAAACACAGTGTATAAAATCAATATTTAAAACAATGTTTTAAAAAACTGCATTATAAGAAATGTACTAAGAAACATGAACATATTTTCAAATTATATTAAATTATAAATGGTATCATTATAAATTGTAATTTATTATACCAAGTAATCTTTCAGCAGAGATCGTATAGCTCCTCTCAGAGCATGATTGACTTGTCCGTCGTCCGGCGAGACTTTTTCTTCAACAAATCTCACTGTCATAGAGTAGTACGAGGCTAAAGGTAATATCTGTTGCGCTAATTGCTTAAATGATACACCTAAAGACAAAATTAAAAACATTTAACTTCAACTTTGTAATGATTATTACTTCAGATTAAAATTTCTAATAGTCTTTCTGCATTCCTTACCAACATCCGGTGATATATTGAAAGTTTTAACAGCATAAGGACTCGTTAATGGTTCCGAAACGATATACGATCCATCTATTCCTTTTAAGCAATACAAAATATCCCAAAGAAGTATTGACTCCTGAGATACAATTGGCACAACCTCTATAAATATTTAATTATTTCAGACACGCACGTTTTTTTATAGTTTCCCAATCTTGCATTTCGCAGAAAAAAATTGTTTACAAACTTTGATAATGTGCTACAGTGGCGTCGCTGTGAAAATCCCAAGTTATACGTGGACGTTCCATAACCCAATTGTGCTTCGCTAAGGTACCATCATTTTTCTTACTGATCGAAACTTGCTGGTTTAATTTCTTTCCCCCTTCAGCAGCTTTAATTACAGTTTTGCAAATCTATCAAATATTTAAAAAATTAAACATATTATATGCCAGTGTATATTACGTCAAAAAAAATAAAACAATTAATTGAAGTACTAAAGCTGCGGTCCACTTAACACTACAAATGCTTCAAAGCATTCCTCTTCTCTTTTCTTTCAATGAAGAAAGAAGGAGAAAAACGCTCCAAAATATTTGTAGCGTCAAGTGGACCGCAGCCTAAGTTATATAATTGAGACAAATTTTACAAAAATATCATGAACTTGTACATATTATTACCTTTGGCAAATCTTCCTGCGTAATGGTCGGATCCCTCAGGGAACTGGCAGTTGCCCTTGGTACAGATCTCGACAAGTACCTCTTCAACTCCTCATCTTTGGATATCAATTCTAGAGTCTGCACAAACAGACCTAACAAGTCTACTCTGAAAAAAAAAAAAAAAAACATATTTTCTTGTCCTTCCTTGTTCCTTCCACACAAATGCCATCTATAACATCTACATTACATTGGCTCACTAACTTTTTCGACTTCAGTTCCTCGTACTTCTGTAGAAATAATTCGGGCTGTGACGAAATCTTGGCGAGATGCTGGATACAGCTGTGAGGAGCAACGACATTTAGCACATTCGCCGTCAAGCTTTCCTTCTGCAGCTTCTCCAAGTGTCTCTCCGGAGCAGATTCCGAGCTAGGAAAACAACATTTACATGTATTTGTCGCGATAACGTTTCTTGCGAAAAGTTCTCAGATTTATTTAAACCTGATTTATTTAAACGTAATTGCAACGTCTTGCAAATTACGAAGTATAAACGTTGCCGCTTACCCTAACAATTCAATCAACTGCACTATTAAATGATGTAATTTAAATTCACTCATCGTTCCCGATTCCTGCTCTGAATGTCAACTGTAACTGTAAGGCTTCAGTGCTAGATCAGCCCATTCAATAATACCGTGCAAATTGTGCAAACATTAAGTTAAATTTGCGTAAAAATAACCATTTTAAATACTCGTATAATCTCTTTACGTTTTTGAAAGCTTGTTGGATAGGTTATGGTATGGCAATTTTTGCGTCATCTGGCGAGAACTTCGTCACTGCCTCGCGGCAACATTTAAATTCCATGACAAACGCGATCACATATTAAAAATTATATCGGACTGCAATATTGTGTAACAAAATATATCTAATTATATATTATAATAATTTAAATTATATAATTGAAATTATCATAATTTTATATAATATAATTATGTATGTTATAAATTTAAACGATTTTTCTTTACGATCATTTATTTTCGGATCGATATATTATACACCTGATAGAATCAGAATTCCAAAAACTTTGAAGAACATGTAGCTTATGTGTTTAACTTGTAATTCATTTAAATGATAAGACTTTTTTATAATAAATATAGCTTATATATATATATATATACATATATATATAATTTTAATGCTATAATAATTGATAAACATACGTTACAAATATAAACTCCAAGATTATTTTAAATTTATATAAACTATCGAGTCATTTTATGGATTACAAGTCGTCTCTCTGGGGAGGCGTGGGCATAAATAAGTTATCTTGATAAATTATCTGCTCGAATTCTACTATTTCAACAATTTGCGCGTTTCTTGGTGCTAGCCGTTGGTTATTGTTCCGCATAGTCGAAGCTGCGTGAAAAAACAGTTCGTTTGTGTTGCCTCTGAAAATGATAATACGGTTAATTCAACCGACCGATCGATTAGTTACCACAAATTTGAAATAATATCTAAATTATATATACCCGAAATTCATATCGTTATGTTGAATGATCGACGTCGTCTGTGGGGTATCGATTGTCGAGCAACCGTGATTGCTAACAGGAACAACTTGCTTATTAGATGACTGCGAAGACTTTCGTGAAGCCGCGCTCGAAGCTTTACTTTCGTCCACCGATCTTTTAAATCGTTTCATCAGAGTTTGATCCTCGTCGCTGAACACACATTTCTTCTTTCTCGGCAAATAAGATTTGCTTTGCAAATCTCTTAGGCTAACATTTTCCTTGTCCTGCCTATACTCATAACAGAAAAGTACATCTATAAGTATAATAATTATAATCTATATTCGAATTAATTGTTAATTAACGTTACGTTTTATAATTTTTGTCAATAATCGTTTTCATATTTAAGATAAACTGTTCATCATCATCTTCCGTGTCCTCTATAAAAGTAATATTATTATTAGGCTGCTTTTGCATTAAACTGTTTCTGTGTATATAACCGGAACTTATTTCTCCTGTAAAGAAATGATAAAATTTGTGAAGAATCTTTTGATAATAAAAAAACAACGCAAATGGCTACCCAGATAGCACAGTTGATCTTTATGAATTCATAAAGATCAGCTGTGCTATCTGGGTAGTAGGATAAGAATTTACCTGTCATAGTGAGTGAAATATTTTTATAATCAATAACATTGCTCTCGTTACTTTTCTCATTATTCTTCGTTTTTGCAACAGATGGAGGTATTTTGTAATTGGAGCGATTATCACCACTCGGAGGTTGCGGAATCAAAAATTTTTGACTCATTTGTCTATCACTGACACCTTTATCCATTATCGAACAAATAGCTGGGCTATATCTGCATGAAATTAAAAAAAAAGAAATATTTCCTTCGCATTGAACAAATTTTTTTTCTAACAATTCAATAGAGTGTAAAAAATGACAGCAGTTAGAAATATAAGTATAACAACAGCAACAGTTAATTAAACAACATTGCTCAGTATGGAATAATTTTTTTTTAAACCTTATCGTACAATAATAAGAAATTACGATTATAGACAAGCATTTTGTGGTGAATACAAATATAGCGCATACATTAGACAAATTTCTTTAAAAAATAAAGGCTCGAAAAGCAAAATATTAAATGACAATCGTTGATGACAACAATCTGGATCTTCTTATCTTAAATAATATTTTCTTTGATACTTTATTATTTTATTCTTTCTTTTCAAAGTCTCGGCCTCTTTCCCGCATCCGCACCTTTTGTGCTTGTCGATTATACGCGTCTTATTCGTTCTTTTCACCCTTTAACTCAGTAGAAATTGAAATCAAATGTGTATCTGGCTCATTTCAGTCATTTCTAACGCATAGCGTGTACGGTCAAGAGGAAAAATAGATCAGAATGGATGATAGATGATCATAATATTCATAATAATCCAATAAGTTAGTTTTTACGACCACAAACTTCTACCGCTTTCTATTCATTTCTACTGTTTTCCAAGTTTCCACCACTCACTTCGCCGCCATGTTTTATGCCGTCCCTTTCTATTGCATGCGAAAGTGCGAAATAAGCGAGCAGTCCAGTTGGTATATAAAAGTCCGTGGCTACGATTGGTTGCGAGTTACGATTACGTTGAATTGGATTACGCTGGATTAGGTTAGGGTTTAAGTTACGCATTCGCGCGGTGCCATAACCTCTCGCTCTATTTTCCTTCGCTCATTTTTGGCGATTCTCACGCGAGTAGCGGGGACGGGACGGGACGGGAGTTTATGAGAATTCGCGACGGCTTCGGAGAACCATGCGACTCGTGACAGCGATAAATGCCAAGCTGCCGCTGATTTTGAGGCAGCGCGGCGTGATCGCGCGCTCCTTCCGCGGCGACCGGTCGGCTGCCTCGGATCGCCACACACCGTCGCCGATTTGCGTCAGACCGCGGCTAACGCGGATAGAATACCCCGGTCACAGGTCGGGATTGCTGAGGATCGCCCGGGTTCACCCCGCGATCACATCGGTGAGATTTTTCACGGCGAAAAAGTACTCCGATCGTGACCCCCCGAGGTAAACTGAGTTTATTTATTTGAATTTGATTAGTTTCCCCGTACGATCTTAATTAACTTGTATTTTTTCCCTTAACTTACTTGACTTTTCAAACTCGTGTAATTCTCTTCCTTTTCCCCTAAATCAGTTTGATTAGTTTCCATATTATTTTGTTAATTAACTTCTGTTTTATCCCTTAACACGCCTGACTTTTTCAAACTCGAGTAATCCTCTTCTTTTTCCTCTAGTTTGTGAACTTAACAAACTTGCTCTCTCTATAATTTATTTGCTTTGTAATTTAGCAATAGTTATTTGTTACCTTCCCTATGCTTTTATCTCTATTATTCTTGATATATTGATATTTTTATACTATCTATGTTATTATAAGTATATAATAGCTATGATAAATTATATTATGTATGATGCTACTTCTGAGAAACTACAGTTTTTGTTTTATATGTATATATCCATGTTGTTTAGTGATGGCAATGGAGAACAATCTGGAGATTATCCCGCCTCTCTGCCTGCAACCGTAGTGGTACCTGAGGTATGGCCTCACGTACCGGTCATTGCAATCAACAGAAATCCAGTGTTTCCCAGGTTCATTAAGCTAATTGAGATTAGCAATCCAGTTCTGATAGATTTAATACGTAGAAAGATAAAGCTAAATCAGCCTTACGTGGGAGTCTTCTTGAAGAAATCCGAAGAGTAAGTTCTAACAAATCATTTTCCAGTATTAATTTACTGAATATAAAAAGCGTCAAAACTAATAATTATCTGAATGATAGATATAATGCAAAGTAAATTTTAATTTATACAGGAATGAAGCTGATGTCGTTCAAAGCTTGGATGAAATTTATCCGATTGGAACTTTTGCCCAAGTACATGAGGTACAGGACCTGGGAAACCGATTAAGATTGGTGATTATGGCACACAGAAGAATCAAGATTGTTAACCAAATTTTTGAGGACGCCACTCCAAAGGTGGAACACGGTAAGGAATGTATATTTGCTACTTTCACGTTGTAATATAAAATAACACTTTATAGAAATTTAGTGTTTCGTTAATCGATTAAAATTTGCTTGTTCAACTTGGCGTGGCTCTGTTTTTCGGTTATTCTGTTTAAATATCGCCCTGCCTACTTTATACAGAGATGAAACTGACGTTTCCACTATTAAATACCACAATTACCGTCCCTGTAGACGACACGATAACCAGTGGCAAGGTAAACCGGAGATCTTTGCGTAAAAAGGCAGAGAATCGAGTTACTGACCGAACTGAGAGAACAGAAAAGGTCGGTGAAGCGGGCTCTACGGAAATAAAGCTGCCGATAGATTCACCCGAGAAGAGTACAGAGAAACCATTGGATTCATCAATCCCCCCGTCTGGTAGTCAACCTGTACTAATGGTGGAAGTTGTAAATGTCACACATGAAAAGTTTAAGCAAAATGAGGAGATCAAGGTAACATATAAAATGATATTGAAGGATTCACAGTATAACTATATTGAAAATATCATTTTTGTTTTTTAAAAGTCAATTAATAAGCAAGTTAGATAAAACATTTATAAATATTGAGATTTGAGTTAAAATTTTGGAGACACTATGCGATTGTAGTAGTAAAAATTAGAATCAAGTCAACTTTTATGAGAAATATATAAAAACAGTTAATTCGAATGTACCTTGTGTTATATGATACTATATATTACAATACCAGAAACTAATTTCACTGTTAGAAATATTTTCTGAACAGGCATTGACGCAAGAACTCATCAAAACAATCCGAGACATAATTAGCATGAATCCTTTGTATCGCGAATCTCTGCAACAAATGCTGCATCAGGGACAAAGAGTTGTGGATAACCCGGTTTACCTCAGTGATTTAGGTGCTGCCTTAACTGGAGCGGACGCACAGGAATTGCAGCAAGTTTTAGAAGAAATGGACGTAAGTACATCATGCATTGCATTGTACATCATGTACATCATATCAGATTTCATAGAAAATATTAAAATAATATTTTATTCGTAGATTCTAAAAAGACTGAGGTTGTCGCTTGCGCTTTTGAAAAAAGAATACGAATTGAGTAAGCTGCAGCAAAAAATTGGCAGAGAGGTTGAGGAGAAAGTAAAACAACAACATAGAAAATATATTCTTCACGAACAATTGAAAGTTATTAAGAAAGAGTTAGGGCTGGAAAAGGATGACAAAGATGCGATAGAAGAAAAGTACAGGGAAAGAATAAGACAAAAGACAGTTCCTAAACCAGTCATGGATGTTTTGGAAGAGGAATTGAATAAACTTTCCTTTTTAGAAAGTCATAGTAGCGAATTCAAGTGTGTATCGAACATAATATTAAGTATACATATTACATATGTGATTTATATAAATTTCATATAAATTTTGTATTTCTTAGTGTTACGAGAAATTATCTCGACTGGCTTACGTCTATGCCATGGGGTGTGACAAGTACAGAGACTCTAAATCTTCAAGATGCCGTCAAAATTTTGGATGAGGACCACTACGGAATGGACGATATAAAAAAAAGAATACTTGGTACACAAAAGCGCTCATATACCTGTAGATATTATTTAAATAATAACAATGCTTTTCATTGTATATTTAATTACAGAATTTATTGCTGTTAGTCAACTGAAAGGCAGTACACAAGGAAAAATATTGTGTTTCTATGGGCCACCTGGGGTCGGCAAGACCTCAATAGCTAAATCGATCTCTCGCGCTTTGAACAGAGAATATTTTAGGTTTAGCGTCGGTGGAATGACAGACGTAGCTGAGATTAAAGGGCACAGGAGAACGTATGTGGGAGCAATGCCAGGCAAAGTCATTCAGTGCTTGAAAAAGACCAAAACTGAGAATCCGTTGATTCTGATAGATGAAATTGACAAAATCGGCAAGTATGTAATCTTTGTAAACATTGCATTATATATAAAAAATATACAAATGTCTCACAGAGTACAAAAAATTTAGAGAATATCTGAGAATTAAAAATTTTTTATATTTTTATATATTTTTTGGACTTTTGCATCCTCTACAATATTATCTGTAATATTTTAGGGGACACCAAGGAGATCCAGCGTCTGCTCTTCTCGAAATGCTGGATCCAGAACAGAATGCAAACTTCCTGGACCACTATTTAGATGTTCCAGTAGATTTATCGAAAGTACTATTCATTTGCACGGCAAATGTAATAGACACTATTCCGGAACCACTAAGAGATCGTATGGAGATGATAGACATGTCCGGTTACGTTGCCGAAGAAAAGCTCGCCATCGCGAAACAGTACTTGGTTCCACAAGCTAGAACCGAGTCTGGTCTCAGCAAGGAACAAATCAACATACAAGACAATGCGCTCACAACGTTAATCAAATCTTATTGCCGAGAATCCGGGGTGAGAAGTCTGCAGAAACATATAGAGAAGGTGCACAGGAAAGTGGCGTTCAAAGTTGTCAAGAAGGAAGCCGACAAAGTTGACGTCACCGTGGATAACTTACAGGATTTTGTGGGCAAGCCTGTATTCACGCACGACAGGATGTACGAAATTACGCCTCCTGGCGTTGTGATGGGACTGGCGTGGACCGCCATGGGCGGTTCCACGCTATTCATCGAAAGTACCATCAGAAAACCGACCGGTGGCAAAAAATCCGAGGGTACTTTCGAGGTCACCGGTCATCTGGGTGACGTGATGAAAGAGTCCATACATATCGCGATGACTGTGGCAAGGAATTACCTGAAACGGGAGGATTCATCGAATACATTTCTGTACGATTCCCACCTGCATATACACGTGCCCGAAGGAGCGACCCCGAAAGACGGACCTAGCGCAGGTGTGACGATCGCTACCGCGTTGTTGTCCCTAGCTAAAAATCAAGCCATCAGGCAAGACGTAGCAATGACGGGCGAATTGAGTCTCATGGGCAAGGTACTTCCTGTCGGCGGTATTAAAGAGAAAGTTATTGCAGTAAGTATAAACGTAATCTTGTATTAATCCCACTATTAAACCTACTAGTCTTAATTGAAATAAGCTTCTCTCTGCTATTATTACATAACATTACATAGTTTAATATACTAATTTTATTAAATTGTTCATCACCAAAGCGTGCGTTTGTGTCCATGTTTATAATACCTTTCAGAGAAACGTAATTAAGTAGTATAGATTTGTAAAATAATTGCTTTGTTGTTCAAGGTACAAGATTATTAAACTACACTTTTACTTTTAGGCGAAGCGAGTTGATGTTAAATGCATAATTTTGCCCGATGAGAACAAGAAAGATTTCAACGATCTACCTAAATATATTACAGACGGTCTAGAAGTGCATTTTGCTTCGACGTACGATGACGTTTATCGCATATGTTTCGCGATAACCGACTCTCTTCGATCCGCTAAACCAATCACTGATCATGTCTCGTCCGCACAGCCAACATTCGCGTAAAATAATATACAAAGTGGATGATTCCGAAATGGATACAGATATGTTTGTATAAATTTTCTTTACCATGATCAATACTATCGTTATTGATCTGCTGTATCACTTTATTATACAAATAGTATGTACTAAATGCAAGAATATTTTACTGACAAAATATCTTATTTCGTATGTTGTTTCTTGTACATAAAATCTATGATATAATTGAAAAGGTAATTTATATATTTAACAAACAAAATGATTTATTTAAATAATTGACCTTTATATTAAAAGCATTTTTTAAATTGATCATAGGTATCTCATTGACATCTTAAATTTTATTATTTGCAATTATTCGATTCATATTTAATATGTTTTACAAGTTTCCTATTTGTAAGTGATACAGATGTAATCGAATAAATTGGTCTGGAAATGTGTATATATAAAATAGTATACAAAATAAGAAAGAGAGAGAGAGAGAGAGAGAGAGAGATAATTATACTTAAGAGAAAACTGTTCACCTTTTGTTGATATCTTGAAAAAGAAAGATTTTTTGTTACATTATTTTGTAAGAATGGGTTATCATACTTTATTATGTATAAATGCCGTTATAATGTATAAATGCAAATATACATATAAGGAAAATATATCTTTTACTTTTCTCAAGACTTGTATTTCTTCTTGGTAAAAATTTATTTTTCTCCTTGAATAATTCATGCATAATATCTATGTAACTATGCAAATATTTTTCCATTCCGAAGAAACTATTGTACATATTGCTAATCTGTTGTACTTTTAATTAGCAGAAGTAAATTTTAGTGATAATACCTTTTAATACAACAATGTTTGTAACATTACATTGTATGTAAGAAAATCTTGGTTTAAAAATAAAACATTATACAATATAAATCATTACAGTCTTCAATAGATTCAGCCTTTAAAATTTAATGTTAAATATATAACTAATTAATGACAAGTATAATAATTTATAATAAAAGAATGACGTAATTGGTATCTGTACGTGATAAATATGACTGAATAAATGAGACTGATATAAAAGATAACTTTATATTCGTGTCAAGTTGGTATATCCATCTTACTGAGCCTGATTATGAAGTCGCACAGCCTCATCTGCACTTGAATCTCCACTGGATTATTCGTCACATAGAATCCAGGCACTCCAGCCTTTTCCAATATGCTTTGCTGATCAGCTACCTTTTGATCTAGCTGCAGGACCAATTTCATGTCCATTTGCTTCAACTCCTCCTTGTGCTTCTTGTACAGCGCTACTTTCATCGAGGCTAGCTCTTCGTCCGTCATCGTCGCCGACAACGCTTCCTGGCACTCGATCTTCTGTTGATTCAAAAGCTGTAGTCGCTGTTGGAAGAGATGCTTTTCGGTGACGTGTTGTATCTCCATCAAACCCTTCACTATCTCAAAGATGGTGTCGTTCAACAACGAGTTCGCCAAGCCAGATAACAATTCGTAAGGCAACCGCATCTGATACTTCGGCGGTAATTCGCCAGCCATGTGCTGCAGCTGTTCCACCAGGAAGTAAAGCTTCGTCTGCAGATCTTGAGGAGTAGGGCTGGCAATGTCCATTTCTTTCTTTGTGGAAATATATGTGCTTCATGAAATGCATCGATATCTGCTCCGTTCACCTTTACGACAATATTTGTTTCTAATTAAGTAATTACATTATATTTTCTACAATTTATTCTAACGTAATTTATAATACCAAATAACCTCGGTGCGTTAACAGTAAATAATAAGGAAGCGAAGTAATGTCTTTCTTTTTGTCGAAATATCCAAGGTAAAAACGGCAGAAAAATTGTTTGACACTTAAAATATTAAAAAGGTCTTCATTCGTTACTCATTGCATGTACACGTGCATGATAGTACCACAGTCATGGTCATGAACACGATTTGGCTGATCAGCTGATGTCTGTTACCGAATCCTGTCGGTAATGTTCACGATTTTGTGGTTCTCTTCCGTGCTATGTCCAACGATTTTTTTATTTTCTTCGGTAAAAAACAAAAAAAAATCGTGAACCTGGCGAAAGAGAACCAAAAAATCATAAACATAACACGGAAGAGAATCACAAAAAATTGTGCACATTACCTACAGGATTCGGTAACAGCCAAATCGTCGTCCATGACCGCTCTCAGGCTCTCTCTGGTCGAAGCTAAATCAGAGAGAAGCCTGATGAGAGAGGCCATCCCGGTCTTTTTCATGGGACCGTCGAAAACCCCTGTACATTAGCGCCAGTATATCCATTTTCGATTGTATACTACGTATAGCCACGTTTATTTTCCGACACTGCCGACATAAAACATCATTTTAGTGCTACATCTGTAAATTGCGCGATTTCATCTGATAACAATAAAAAAAATTTAATTTTATTTAAATTTGGTACACTAGTATCAAGGAAAAGTTATATGTCGTATATAAGCAATATTTTTAAAGGCCGTCCTGCCGAATGTCATTGCGATTAAATGCATTTTGGACTTTGCATTTTCTTAGTTATAAATTAAATATTTGTTTTTATCTTAGATTTTAACTAACATCCGCTAGAAACAGGTCAACCTATAGAGGCCCTCCACCGTTTCCGCCGATTCCGATCGGCGGTCCTCTTTTATTTACAATACTTTTTTTTTACATTTCTATCATTTTTATTTTATTTCTCTTACAATTTACTTTACAATATAATAATATAAAGTACAACATTATAAAAGAGTTATATTACAACGCAATAGCGATACAAGTTAACATTATTTTTTAAACAAAGATATTTAATAAAATGCATCAACGAGCTTTTATAAAGACAGTACAATCTTCTTTTGTTGTAATATTAAAATTATATGTAGGTATTCTTTATACAATTACGAAAGTATGCTATTCCCTAACTTGCTTTTATAAAAACAGGACAACTGGTGACTTCACGTACAATAATATATATTAGTCAAGTATAATGAAATTTTACTTATACTCTTATATTACAAAAAGACGTATATGTATGCAATGTATATGTACGTACATAAACATACATAAACGTGCATAGACAAGAATATGCAGAGATTTCATAAATATAATTATTATATCTATTATATATAATTAGAGTACACAATGGTTTCATCTGGACAAAGTCTGGGATATAAGGGAAAAAAGCATCTGATATATAAGGTAAACGGGTAAATACTATGTAACGTACCAATATTGCGGACCGTTTGCTCTTGAAATTGCGTCAACTGATTGCATGTATAAGCAGTCATGTAGCTGTATTTGTAACGTGTTCTATTTCAATGTCAGCAAATTTACAGCAAATATATGAAAACACATGCAATGCATTAGTTTGCTCAATATGCTCTATCACGCTTGGCTATCTGGGTTATTTCATCATAATAAAATTTTTTTTATTACTTCAATGCGCGATTGGTATATATTAGCAACGTACACACGTGACTGGCACGTTAGCAAATTAATAAATCAATAATATATACACTGAGAAAAAAATGTTGTAAATTTGACTAAACTCGTTTAGTTGTAGTGATTTGTTTAATGCAAATATTAATATATTTAAATCAAATATACGTGAGTAATATCAAGAAATTCTGAATCTATTTAAATATAATATTTTTTGGATTAACAAATGTTAGTTTGATAGCCCGTGACCGCTGCATTTAGTTGAATCAAATAATATTTTTTTGAATCTACGATTTTTTTTTCTCAGTGTAGTCTATATGCCAGGTCGATTGAGCATTTTTATAATTGATGGCTTAAATTAATGTTTTTCTATGTTTTTTGGGTCGTAGAACAAGAATCTGTAAATAGTTTTTTTGTAAGTCGATGCAATAAAAAGTTATTAACAATTTATTTGTTTAAATTGTTCTAGCGATCAAACTATACATCCTATAAAAAAATGAACTAGAGAAAATTTGTTCCTCTTTTCACGACGAACAAAATGGCGTTTGAATTTTTCCAAAATTTTGATTATTGACGGAAATATGTCAATTTTTAGGTAATTACTGTCTATGCGTCGCGGAGTAGGTACCCTAGGCGTGCGCGCCGCGCTCAATTGTACCACGCGAGTTTTGCTCCTTTAATTTTAATTTAATTTATTTTTTTGCTCTTTTTTTATCCTTTTTTGCTCCTAGGGTACTCCGCGACGCGTAGGCAGTAATTACTTAAAATTGACATATTTCCGTCAATAATCAAAATTTTGGAAAAATTCAAACGCCATTTTGTTCGTCGTAAAAAGAGGAACAAATTTTCTCTAGTTTATTTTTTTATAGGATGTATCGATGTATATAGTTTGATCGCTAGGGCAATTTAAACAAATAAATTGTTAATAACTTTTTATTGCATCGACTTACGAAAAAACTATTTACAGATTCTTGTTCTACGACCCAAAAAACATTAATTTAAGCCATCAACCTCGATAAAAATGCTCAATCGACCAGGCGTTATGGATTAATAAAAGAGACTGGGTTTTGGTATTGATTTTCTCGCACACTCTTGAAAGTAAATTCATACGAGTAAGGCGTAGTACGGTTCCTGTTCCTTGTTACGTGAAAATTCATACGACTTTTCTTGATATCCCGACCTGACCTGACGGACTTTCGCCTACGCTGTATAATCCTGAGGATTTCCTGCTACCTGGTGAATCGGAAGCGTCGTGCAGTGAAGGAGGTGAATAAACACTGCAGAAATATTTTAGCAGAAATATTTAACTTCTTTTCCTCATAATTTACTTTCGTTATTTGCTTCTTTTATATTATATTATATTTTAAGTACATGAACTGTTTCTTATTATTAGTAACATGCGTGCTTCATGCACTTAAGATTATATACCGGAAATTCTCACGATAGTTAACATATGTTATCAACTTTTTATATCTCAGTTCCAAATTTACTAAATTATTTTCGTAATAATCATCATAAAATTATAAATGGCAAAATTTGATTAATATTTTAATGATTATTTAAATCTGAGCTACATTAACAGTATAGTGAAATAAGTTAAGTAGAAAAATGTTAGAGACGCATATATATGTTATCAAAAAAGTAGTTACTATGTGGATGAAAATGAAAAAATATATAAAAAATGTTTTATGTGATTTGAGAGATCAGTAGACAATTCATATTTTTACTTAACTTACAATTAGCCATGAAATCAAAAAAGAATAAATATTTTAAGAGAACAATAATGCGAAATATACACAATTTTGTAATAAATGAAATGTACATGCAGGCAAAAATATATAATAAGCAAATAATGCATTTGACACTTCAATTATCAGTACGTTGATCTATTCAATAAAAAAACAATATGTACATTGACTGAGAAGCATATATATTGACGCAGAGTATGAAATCCGCGGAGATTTTTTTCCCTTAAAATATCACATATCATATAAATTTCATATCCCGAGATAACACTCATGATAGACGACCTTCGTAAACAATTCCACTATATTCTCGCCGTTCAGAAAAATTATTCAAGTTTAGGATGACGGTATTATGGACGGCAACGAATAATGCATGAATTAATTTTGGAAATCGTACATCTTTACAAGATTAGCTATTATAGCAAATTTAATTATAAAATAGGGATAACTAAGATTTTTTGCAGCGAGAGCTATAATTTAGCAACAGTAGCAAAAGTTTCACAAAAAGTTACTTTAATATAAAAGGTAAATTTTTTTTTCTGTGCAAAATCTGATGAATTTAATTCATGCATTCTCCTGAAATCTTTCTGCCTTAATATATTACATATTTTCACACATTCATGCATATACCTACAATATACTCATTTATAATTTCCTTTAACGATTGCCGGGCTTAATGAAACAAGACCCCCCCCTTTTGTCTCAATTCTAGGATGATAAATGCTCGCTTCTACTGCTTCTAACTCCTTGTCGTATTCAGTTCATGATCACACGAGTGTTATCATCGCTCTGTTATCTCATTTAGCGTCTATTGGTTTATTGAGAGATAAATCGACATGTGTTTAATGCTGGCCAAGTCTCAGTTATCTAAGAATAAATCAGGAAGTCCGACGGTATAAATATAAATGGTGAAAATGTAGATCATATGTCGTGTTCGTGACAGTCATCTGCAGTGCCGAATGAAAACATACGTAGACTCGCAATTTCATTCCAGATATAAAAAAATGCACTGATGTAGCTATAGCCTGTCACTTCTGCGTTCTGCGTGTATCACTTCGCGGCTGGCTTTACGAAACGGCACAGTGAAGTGAGCATTTAAGTGAAATAAACGACCAAAGTCGAAGCAATTTACAGGTCAGTGTGTATCGATTATTATCAACGCTCTGTTTTCCTCAAACCGATATTCAGTCGGAATTTATTAATAAAAATTTTAGATAAAGCCTTGTAAAACATGTATAGTTATAGTGAACTCACTTATACCGTATTATATTTAAAAAATATGAGATCAACTTGCTAATAATGCAATAACATGTGTATAGGTAAATATGTATAAATAGGAATAAAAAGCACCTGAATAAATTATATGACACATAATATAATATACTTTAATATAATTTAAGAAAATATGATTTTACAAAAATGTTACATAAGTGGAAAAATCTCAAGTTTATTCCGTGTAAATTGCATAAGTCGCGTGAGTTTGAGAGAAGAAGAGTTTAAGTTGTAAACATACATAATGCGCAAACATTATATGAACGCGATTATAAGTTTTTATGAGATATTTCTCTATCTTATAGACAATATTTTAGAACGTATAAATAATTTTCCATATCTTTAAACAATCTTATACTTTATAAAATGTAATAATGTAGAATTCGAATATCTATATAAATCGAATATATCTGTCTAACACAAATAACCACTTCTCCTCTTTACTTTTTAAATTAAAGAAGATAAGCCATAACAAATATCATTTCAATTTCTCAATGCAATATTAATTGTTATGCGATTTTTAAGATTAACAATCCAGCCAGAAATTATTAGTTGAATTGACGTCAATTGCATCGATATTTTTTATTGATATATTTAATAGTTGATGTCAAATACTAGTTTAGTTGATATCTTTGTCATCTTCGATCTTGCATCTTCACAATTGCTTTTAATTGAGAAATTGAGACGTTCATATTCTTCAATAGCGTAGTGACTTTACTGCAAGTCACATGTTATGCTTTATCTAAGCATGGCATAAGCGATTACGTACTTGCTTGAGCAATTATTACGTCATCTTCGACCTTGCATCTTCACAATTGCTTTTAATTGAGAAATTGAGACGTTCATATTCTTCAATAGCGTAGTGACTTTACTGCAAGTCACATGTTATGCTTTATC